TAGTAGCACACCCAAAGGAGAATGAAATTTTTAAAATAAAAGTTTGAGGGTTTTTTTTTTTACTATGAAAAGATTGCTTTACTCCATGAAAATATTCTCAGAGAACACTATCAGAAACAAGGCTTTTCACCATTAAGAAATCAATTATGTGAACAAAGAGTGGAAATTACCATCAAATTAAGAGATTTCTTTTAGACAGATCACGTGTTCAAAGTTTAAGTATGATTTAAGAATGAGTTAAATACTGTGCAGGTTCAAGTGTCTTTTCAAATGTTAGTACCCATGTGCAGGTTGCCCTACTCCACATGAAGGAACTTGTCTACGATGGAAGCAAACTCCAGCTTTAGAAAAACACACAGTAGCTTGAAAAGAACATTCTTTATTAGAAAGCTTTGGATTTGCTCTCTGTGATTGTTGGTCAGAAAAACATAAACACTTCAGTCTTTGTACAGAAGACAAACATAGGCAGGTCACATTTTCTCCTCTCTGCTAACTTCTGAAATAAAAGTAGCACGACTTTTAAAAACTATTCATGTAGTCTGTCAGTATAGAATGTCACATTATATAAATAAGCCTGTAATGAGGTTTAATATCTAAAACTGTGTACTTTACTAGCCTCAAAGGCAGTGTTTATAAACCTTTACTTCTCCTTAAATTCTTGTTCATGTCTTTGGCCATTTTCCTGCGAGCATTTTTATTTGCAAGAATCATAAATATTCTTTTATGAATATTTTACTTATATGAGCTTTATCAATTATATCCATTGTCAGCATCTCTCCTCAGTCTGCGCTTTTTCTTTTAAACTTCTTTCTGCTTGTGTTTTTGGCAGACATAGTTGTCATTTAATACAGTTATGGTTATCAGTCTTCTCTCTTTTGATTTAGTGCCTTCAGAAAATCTTTTCCCACCTTGAACTGATAAACATATTATTCAATTTCTTTAATTAAAAAAAAAGGTTTGCCTTTAACATTAAAGTTCTTAAACCATAAAGGACTCTTTTTCTTTTGTGAGCAAAATAATGTCTTACATGTTTGTGTGACAGCCCTTCTCCTCTTCCTGGGTCCTGCAGCACACCTTTGTTGCTCCTGGTTCTGTTCAGAAGGTGTGTTGTACTCCGCTGCTCTGGACATCTACCCCCGCAACCATAGCTGCATCCTTTGAGTGTACAGCTGTGAATTATCTGGATACCTTCTACTCTTCTTATTATATTGTTGTTATAATAATCTTATTATTCTTTTCCAGAGGAGCCTTATACTTGAATTTTAAAGTGTGTGTGTGTGTGTGTGTGTGTGTCTGTATACGCATACAAGCTGAAGGTTGGACAACAACTCTTGTGAATTGACTCTTTCTTGACACCTTTTAGGTTCCAGAGGTTGACATCAGATCATCAGGACTGTACATCAGCTGGGCCATCTCATCGGCACACTCTTGGGCTTTATGTATTTCTTTCATGAGTTTTAGGATTTGATCATCAAGATACTAGCTGGGTTTGCTTTTGATAATTATCTTTTTAAAAAAATACTTACGTGTATGTTTGTCTGTGTCGCATACATGTATACACACATGCATGTAAGAATCCGTAGAGCCAAAAGGAGGCACCCAGATCCCCTGGAGCTACAGTTACAGGCAGTTTTGTGTCACAAGGCTCTGGGAACCAATCTCTGGTCTTCTGAAATAGGAGTAAGTGCTTTTAAACTTCTCTCCAGCTCCAGATAGTTTATATATTAACAGAAATGTTGTTCAATCTATAAATCTTTTTGGAAAAAGATGACTTCTTACAAGTGGACTCTTTCTAAGTGTAAATGGCCAACCCATACATTTATTTATAACTAATTTTCTTCTTGCACATCTTGCATGTCTTTTTACAGATTGACAACGTTTTACGTTAAAGGCACTCTATTATTATTTTTTGAAATAGTAAAAATATTTTCTAGCTAAGTGAGACAGCACATACCTGTGACCTCATTACTTAACAGGCTGGAATAGGAGGACTGAAGAGTTGGGTGCCAGGTTGGGCTACGTGGTCGAATTCTTTGATGGAGTTGGTTCTCTCCTTCTACTATGTGGACTCTGAGATTGATCTCAGATTATTTGTTGACAGGTGACTTTACCCACTGAGCCATCTCTCTGGCACCTGTTTCTCTTTTCTTGTCTCAGTAGACAGAATATAATAAGCATGTTTGACATGTCTATGAATTTAAGGAGCATCCTTTTTTAAAACTTTACCATTTAAAAATAATGTTAGTTTGAGACCTTATTGTTCAATAAGTATACTTGTTTAATTTATCCTTTTACTTTGATGAATATTTTTCTGTAAATCATAAATGCGTGTGGAACTATGTGAGATGCATTTCAACATTATTTGAAATGATTCTATTTTTCATTCCACACTGCCTCATACACTATGTGATGTCTACATAAATTTGGACAGGCTAAGTAAATTATGGAGCTTTTAATACATTACACTTCTCTCTTATGTCTCAAACCTTTCCATAATAGTGACTCCCAAATTGGGTTTTCAGCAAGATAATGTGTGAAATGTTACACAGAAATCAAACACGTTTCTCTTCAGTTTCCTAGTTCCTTTGCAATGCCAAACGGACGGTGCTTCCAGGGATAAGCCCAAATTGGTGTCCCTGGTTCCTGGTATTTTGACCTTGTTCATCATTGTTCTCTGAATTCCTCTCTCTCACTGTTCTTTTATATTTGAAGGGCACATCAGAGAGGTATTGTAGAATGACTGGGGGTATCCTCTCCCCACCACCCCTGTTGCAAGAACCTTTCTTGCCCATTGTATTTGCAATGCATCCCTGTGATTGGGCAATAGAAGAGGGAGGTGGAGTAAAGAGCTGGGAGGAGGAAGAAAAGAGAGAGGAGAAGAAGGAGGAGAGGAAAGATGGCAGGAGATATTATCGTAGTGTCTCTAGCAGTTACTCTTATCAAGGTTAGGAAACTGGGTTTATGATTCTAATTGTGGGGGCATCTTGTGTATTGAGTATTTGCTAATATTTAAATCCATTGAATAATCTTTAGCATTAAGAGTCTCATTTTTACTGGGTATGGGAATTGTTATATCTACCACATTGGGGTGGTGGAATCGGCTCTTGAGCCATGCTTAGAGCCATAAACCCACAGAGCTGACTGGCAGAGACAGCAGCCACGCTCACATCTCGTGGCCTCCAGGCTGGCACCTCTGGCACTGTTAGTATGGGAACATAGAGTGGGAATGTGGCAACAGCCAGAGAGCTAGCCAGAGCCAGACCGCACTGTCGCTTTTTCCAATACATCTCGCTACACCTCCCTCTCAATTCTTGGGCAAAATTTACATAAATTTAGAGCATTCAGCTTCAAATGTTAGGTAGAAATTCTTTTCTACCTAAAACCCTTTTCTACCTAAAACCCTTTTCTTTGTGGAACCATTTTTATCTTCTAATGAAATTAAGATGGGAGAAGTTTTATTCTTAGCTGTTGTGATAAATTATATTTCTCTATGAATTCTCTCAATCTATGTCTGGCTGGTCCTACTAAGCTCACAGACATAGGGATGGATATTTGTAATGCTTTGATGTCAAAGCCCACTAGTTCTTTGATATATATGGTCTTGTTCACTTACAGGTACCATCTGTCTACATCCTGGTGAGTTAGGCTGTTGGTTAGCTTTTATTCAAATGTCAACTGAGTTCCTCAAAATGAAACTTACAGTGTTTCCTTCTTGCTTTCTCAAATCTGTCTTATAAGTTTTTACCAAAGCTGTGTGAGATATTTTCTAACTACTCCCAACCTTCCCAGCATATGATGACACAGCAATTATTTCTCACCCCCCTCCAAGAAAAACCCCCAAAACAAAACAAAACAGTTGTTGGTTTGCATTTTGGTGGCCTCCAGTTTTTCAGCATCTATAAAAAGTCACTTTAAGAACAGACAGAGCTGGGTAGATTTCTCAGTGGCTTAAGTAGTTATAGCACAAATGTGGGCCTGAGTTCAGTCTTCAGCATTCATGTTCGTAGGGTGACATGAGCCTGTAGTCCAAGTCCACTGAAGGGAAGGAAAAGACAAGAGAACTCCTGGGCCTCAGCCAATCAAGGCAGTTGGTAAGCTGCAGGTTCAGTGGAAAAAAAATATATATGTATAATATCACTGCTACTCACCTAGAACATTGTCTATTCTTGGTGACAAGTTCATTCCCCTCCTGACCCTCCACCCCACCCCACTCTACCTCCTTTTCCTCTGAAGTAGTGACCACGCGGCCCAGCAAGACAGTGAGTGTGAGTCTCATATATGAATATATATGGAAAACACTCAAGGGAAGTATCTAATGTCAATCTCTGACCTCCATACTCATACACTCATGTGTATACACACGTACCACACACACACACACACACACACACACACACACGAGAGAGAGAGAGAGAGAGAGAGAGAGAGAGAGAGAGAGAGAGAGAAAATATATACATAATAAACAAAACCTTAATTAAAGCCTTTTCTTGCCATCTAAGAATTAAATCCATAGAAATAACCCTCTGATAAATTGCAAATTTTCAGGCTAATCTGACTTTGTGTAACCAGGTAAATAGGAATTAATGTACCTGTTAAAATCTGTCAAGACGACATATTAGAAAGGTCGACGACTTAGAAGCTAATGGCACTTGCTGCTGTTGTCAAGAACCTATTGAGAAGCTCATAACTGCCTGGACCACACAGCATATATGCTGATTTATAGGCACACACACATATCCACAAATAAAAATAAATATAATTTTTTTTTAAAGAGCATAGATTAGAATTCCATTGTAAGTACCGATCTCATTTGCTTTCAAAAGTGACTGCCCCTTGGTTAACCATGCTCAAGGCCAAGTGAGATTACATACTCATGGCAGCACACAACTAGGTATACATCAAGAAGAAGGAGGTGAAGCCTCTCGAAGAGCCAGGCTTTCATGAAGTTTTCAACTGCCCTGAAACATGAGAGCCACTGACACTTTGAAAATCTTTGGCAGGAAGAATCTGTTTCTTTAGATTCTGAGGTGGATGAGCACATTAACTGGTTCCAGCAAGAGTTTATGAAAACAGACAGGGACTGGAGAGAAGTGGACAAGAGGATGAGCCAGACTTTGGAAATAAGAAGAAGGATGATTGGCGGCCGAACTCCTCTCAAGGACATTCTTAAGATGTTTCCCTTCCTGAAGTGCCCTTACCAGGTAAGCTACCCACCTAGAACATTGTCTATTCTTGGTGACAAGTTCATTCCCCTCCTGACTCTCCACCCCACCCCACTCCACCTCTGAAGTAGTGACCACGCAGCCCAGCAAGACAGTGAGTGTGAGTCTCAGTAGGGTGTGAGCAGGACAGTTGGGTCAGAACTGCAGGAAGCCCCTTCAAGAGAGCAGACACTGCTGTCTTTAGGATCAGAGTTCCCTGTGGAGCACAATGGCGGGGGGGGGGGGCGGGGGGGGAGGCATGAGTTGTCTATACTTTAGGGTTTTTTTCTCACATGAATAATTCCATTTTGCATGCATTTAGACAGTTAAGACAGTATGCTCAGAACTCTTCCCAAGTAATATTTTTCTATTTCTTTTATAATATAAAATCATTTCTTAAAGTGTCTTGGTTGGGATTTCTATGATAAAACACCATAGCCAAAAGCCACGTGGGGAAGAAAGGATTTATTTGGTGTACACTGTAAAATCATAGTTCATCACCTGCAGCAAACCTAGAGGCAGGAACTGAAGCAGAAGCTGTGGATTGGCTTGCTCAATTTGCTTTCTTTAAAACACAGGGCCACCTTGCCAAGGGGTGGCACTGTGCATAGTGAGCTGGGCCTTCCCACACATACCATCAAGCAAGAAATTGCCCCCTGTAGGCTTGCCTTATAGGCCATTCTGAGAGAGGCATTTTGTCAATTGAGTTTCCCTCTTCTCAGATGAGCCCAGGTTTGGATCAAATTGAGAAAAATTAACCCGGGCATAAAGTGATCTTATGGCTCTGCTATTCTGTAACTTCTCAGAGCTGACGTGCTCCGGATATAGGTTCTGAAGAACTGGCAGTCAGAGAAGGGACCCAGCAGTTCACCCTGACCCTTCATTACCTCATAAACATTAGTTTTATCAACTTTAAAATTCTTTTAACAGAAAGTTTAAAAATTTTAGACTGTCTAAAATTTCAACTAGAATTCTACCACTGGGATTTAACATGGCTATAACAAAAAGCAAATGGGGCCAAGATTTAGGAGGGAGGAGAGAAAAATTAAACACTCCAAGTTTCTAGAGACCCTTTGAAATGCTACAGCGTTTTCCTCTCTGAGAAGCAGCTTCGACAATTACCTCTTAGGTAAGTTCAAGTGGTGCTGTGGTAGGAACCTGCTGTCGCAGTCCATCCAAAGACGAGGCAGGAGAAGCTCTGGAGCCATGGAGTTACATTTGATCAGCAGAAAACTTCCAACACACACAACAAAGGAAAATGTTTGAAGGTGTGGACAAAGGGCTCTTTCATCATCAATGTCATTCACTGGCAGTTTAATGTCTGTAAGTGTCTACACTGAGCTTAATAGTGGACCATACTGCTGCAGAGTGAGAAGCATGGAAAGAGAGAGGAGAGATAGCCTGTGAGCTAGGCTAAATCTCATCAGTATGGTTGATTCTAATTCTATAGAGGTACATAGCAGCTGTAGATTTTTATGTTTCACTACCTTGTCAGTCACTTAGATGACAAATGGATTCAGTGGCTAAGAAATACACACACACACACACACACACTATATATATATATGTATATGTATATGTATATATATATATGTAAAATAAGCCTGAAATATTAGGAAATACCATAATTAAGGAAATGTTCACCAACTCTTGAGCTATATCAGAGGACAATCCTCTACTGGCAAAATCTAGAAAACATAAAAACATATAAAATTACATAAATATTTTTTGAAATTCATATTTGTATCCTTTTGAGCAAAATAAAAATTTATTAGTATGCTGTGTTACAAATAAGTAAATAAATGTAGACAAAGAGAAAATCCTGCCCTGTGGTAAGTAGAGCACCAGCTCTACTTACCAGGAAAGACAGATAAGCCAGATGCCACTTGGCAGTGAAGACAGTGACATTGGCATCAACGGGTATTCAATCTTGTTGATAAAGTTCTATGAGCTAGCCAGGTGTGCTGGCACTCCTCTGTAATCCCCACACTTGGGAGACAGGGGGCAGGGGGCAGGAGGCAGGAGGCAGGGGCCAGGGGGCAAGAGGCAGGAGGCACAGAGGCAGGTTGGGCTACAGAGTGAGTTCAAGTCGTTCTGGGATGCATAGGCTCCCTAGCAAAACCTTCTGTCAAAACTCTATATAGCAGATAGTTATTCTCAGTATACCTGCTCATCAAATACAACCTAGTTCAGACACAGAGCTGAAAGAGCTGGTAGATTCCAACTTAACCAACTGAGAAAAGTTATTACCTTTGATGAAGTGGTTGCCCATGCCTTTAATCCCAGCACTCAGGAGGCAGAGGCCAGTGGGTCTCTGTAAATTCAAGGCCGGCCTAGTCTACAGATATAGTTCTAGGACAGCCAGAGCTACACAAAGGAACAAAGAAAACTAGTATCAAAAATCAAAAACAAAAAAGCAAAGAAAAAAAAAGGAAGGAAGGAAGGAAGGAAGGAAGGAAGGAAGGAAGGAAGGAAGGAAGGAAAGAAAAAGATAGTATCTTTAACATGGGGACAAATTCCCATTTAGTGTTCCTGATTCTTACTTCAAATGTAGAAGCTCCAGGAAAATATCACAGAGAGGAAGGGTTACATACTGATGAACCACTTTTCAAAAATGCCCAAGAAACCTTGTTTCAGGCAAGAGACACAGCTTGAGACATGGTATTTGCATCTCTCTAGCAACCCTGGATCTAGAAGAAAAAAGAATGAAAGAAACTCCTGGCAAATCTAAAGAAGGCAGAACGTTAGACTCCCCAATTGTGTCTTTGTACTTAGGAAAATTAAGGGGCAAAGGGCCATTCTGTCTACAGTTTATTGTTAGTAGGTCTTCATGAAGGGCATCCTTAAGTTCTATTTATTTTAACTTTAATATCAACTTGAAATTATACCAAAATAAAGGGAAAATATGGGTCCTGGGGACAAGGAAGAGGCTGACTTGATCTTCCTCACATTTGATTCCTGCCTGTGTAGTGAGAGAGCCTTTCCTAACCCTCAGCTGGGCTCAGCTCAGCTTAGCTCAGCTCAGCTCTCTGCCGAGAAAGAGCACTATGCCCTGATGAGGATGTGAGACCCAGATTCAAATGCCTTAACTTTCAGATCTTGATTAATTTATGGTTTACCCAAATATCTAAGGACCTGAGGCCCCACAGTCAACATTAAATGGTACAGTCTTTGGGACCGTGGTGACTAAATTAATTCACATTGGTGTAGATGACTAGGAGGTCTGATGATCTCATTCTGTCAACGAAGGAGGAAGGGCAGTAGGGTTGGAATTTTCTGAGAGGCCAAATTTAGAAAATTCTAGAAAAGGGAGGCAAACGTGGTTTTAAGTTCAAGAGGCTTCTATTGGGTTTGCTTTAATTTAGAAGCCCAGTCTTCTGCACATATATTGTTAAACCCATCTTACAGTCTCTTAAACACTTTCTTAAGGTCCTAAGATTGGGTATTTTTCAAGAGTTGTTTCTGAAAAGCCAGTAGTGTTCTGGTTTTGCCTTTTGCTGGACACTGCTGAAACATAACTCTCCTAGCTTGATTCCTGATGCTGTGAAAACACAGATCAGAAACAACTTAGAAAGGATTTATTTGGCTTACACATTGCATAGTCCATGATCAGGAGAAGTCAAGGCAGGAAACCTGGAGCAGGAACTGAGGCAGAACCATTTGAGGAACTCTGCTTACTAACTTGCTCCCCTGGCCTGCCTTTCTTACACAGTCCAGGCAGGGGTCACCATGGACCTTCAATGTTGATTAGCAATTATGAAGATGCCTGCAGCCATCCCCACAGGCCAATCTAATAGAGGCCATTTTTCAGTTGAGATCCTTTCTTCCCTGCTTTGTCTCAATCAAGTTGAGAAAAATAAACCATAATGACAACAATGTGGTTTATAAAAAAGAAATGCACCAAGAATTTTAGGCATGTAACCCAAACTTCCAGTAAACATGTGTATAGACATTTTGTGATTTTCATTTAGTGGAATTTATATTCAAAGTTTTAATTCATAATTTGCCTTATTTTCCATTTTAGTATTAAAAAGCAGCCAATTCTATAAAATAGAACAAAAGTTTCTCTAAGTTTTTTTCTCTTCATCCTCTTCCTTCTCTTCCTCTCGATCCTCCTCTTCTTCCTCCTCTTCTTCCTCCTCCTTTTCCTCCTCCTCTTCATTTTCTTCTGTTCTGAGACAGGGTTTTTCTGTGTAGCCCTAGCTGTACTGAAATTCACTCTGTAAACCAGGCTGAATTCAAACTCAAGAGATCTACCTGCCTCTGCCTCTTGAGTGCTGAGATTAAAGATCGGTGTCACCACTGCCCAGCCCCACAGTTATAATTTTATATCCATTATTTGTTTGGCTGTTCACTTCAGACTTCTGCTCTTTTCCTCAATTGTCCTGCATCCACTGCTAAGCTACCAAAAACTCAGTAATATATTGTATCATTCATGGAAGCTTAGTGTGACGCTAACCAGCAACCCACTCCCTGGAAAGCTAATAACCTTCTCTTGTGACCCATCATATCTATGTCTCTCTTCCACCAGATGTTCAGAGAAGTTCAAATTCTTACAAAAACAGATATTTATAAGAAAACAAGGCATATCCTGGAATCCTACTCGGAAAATATACTGTCTGCCTTTTCAGTGCTGGACAATCCAATCAACACAGCCCTGCAAGAGAAGATGAAACACCACAAGGACGAAGGGGTGCTGAAGTGTTAGTAAACCCCAGGGGTGGGGGCAGGGATTGGGAGCAGACTCTAAGTCATCTCTGCAACTCCAGACAGAAGTGCTTCATTGAACTAAGTGCAATTCAATGAGACAGGAAAAAAATATTTCAAATGAGGGAGAGAAAAAGCCTAGGTTAAAAAAAATACACTCATTATTATAAAATTATAGGTACTGGTACCTTTTACTTTTATAATACACACCACAAGACTGAACACCATAAGATCTCAGCACAGACTCTTGACTCTGAAGTTTTGAAGAGTTCATTAGAAAATTAGTTAAAAATGGTTGTGACAGCGGGGAGATGATCAGACTGAGTGTTAGCTGTGCAAACATTAGGATTGGACTTCTGGATCCCAGAACCCATGTCAAAGCTGAGCAGGTATAGTGGGCACTGGTAATCCCAGCATTTGGGAGGCAGAGGCAGGATCCTGAGGCAAGCTGGCTAACTGGACCAGCAGATGTGCAAGCTCCAGATGCAGCAGGTGACCCCACCCCAGTAAATAAAACGGAGAGCTATGGAACAAGATGCTTGATGTTAACTTTGGGTCTCCACACACACTTGCATGTAAACATGCAAGTTTACACCTACACACATGTAAACATGCATAAACATATGTATGTGGGCCACACATACACATGCAAAAATGATTGTAAAATACTCATCCAAGAAGACTTGCTATTCAAAATGGAAGGTGATGAGAATTTAATAAAAAGCAAACCCAACATTTTAATAATAGTTTTTTGTACAGTTTTCACCCCCCCCATCTGCCATTTTTAAAACTTGGACATGCTTGCCTTGACAGATATGAAGATGACTGCCACGTGTTTACTCCTTCCACATGTTTTTGGGGATGAGCCCAGCCTTTTTGTCGTTCAGAATGAGAAGGTATGGAGTATGTTTATGGCCATTCATTTTATACCTTCATATGACTCACTTACAAGGTGAGTGGCCTATTTTAGTAGTTTTATTGTATGATTAAGCTGCACTGTAACTAGCTCACTTAGTGTAATATTGTTCGACATTCAGGTATGCTTTATCATTTAGCTGTTTCACATATCAGCAATAGAGATGTATTTCCTCTTTCAGGTACATGTGTCCACACCTGTGTTGGAAGTTAAAAACCCTTTCCACATCAACGGCTGTGAGTTTTCTTTGTATTTGAACAAAGAGAAGCTTACGAAGGTGGATGACTGTGTCACCGCTCTGGCTGCTTTGGTGGCTGCTTTCCATGTGTTTGGGATCGAGTGTCCGAGAAGACTGTCCCAAACCTTCAACTTCCTAGAGACATTGATCTTTGATGTGCAGTCCCCGGTTTCCCTCTTTGAAAGAGAAGGAAATCAGTTCTCAACCTCTGATCACTAGAGCATCTGAATGAACCCTCCAGGGTGTTGGAAGCTTCATAAATAGTTGCAGATTCATCTTAGAATATCTATTGCCTTAGAGGTAGGGGTTAGAAAAATCATGTTGTCTGCAGCATCAATGGATTTTTGAAGTCTCTCTATAACTTAGATATTTAGGGTTTTTTGTGAAGTTCAGTAATAAAATATTAATTAAAGGCTCTGATTTTGATCTGAGTTCTGTAGTCAAGGTTTCAAGTTGAACAGTGTCAGTTTTGGCTGCCATGAAAGACATCATAAGGTAAAATTCTTCCAGTTAGGGTGTGACCCTGAACTTAACTCAGCGTGATGGCTTGAAAGCCCATGAGTTGGACAGCTGCCTCTTTAGTCTCTTTGGTTAGAACATTGGTTGGAAATATCTTGAACTTGACTACTTTAAAGAGATATAGTCCTCAATTTCCTTACCCCAGACAGCTTGCCTAGTCTGATGTGGTTTGGTTTCCTTCAATCAATATTGAATAAGAGAGCAGCTGTGATCTTGGGATATCCTCCTTGGTAAGCCATCTTGTAGGCACAGGGTCCACACACGTTTGTTTCAGGGTTCCTTCCACATAGACTGAGCCCATGCTCAATGGTCACATTGAAAATTTGTTCATTCATGAATGGTGAGACAGTACTTCTTGGGTAACAGGACCCAGCCACTCTGTTTTCTGAGGGCTTCCATGAGAAAAAAACTGTAAAATAATTTAGGCATACCTTGATATTATCATCAAAATATCTTGTTATTACATAATTCTGAAAGATGGGGATGGAGTCGGGATAGGGGGGAGTCGTTCTGGGTATTGTAGAGATTTCAATGTGTTAATACTTGTGACACAGTCAGATAAGCCTGGGTTATTTCATCAAATGGGCTTTTTAAAATGCTTAAATTTTTATTTTTTTTCTTTTTACTAAAATAAAGTAACCCCCCTACACATTTTGTATTACTCAAATTACCCCCTCCAATCCCTTGTTGAAAAACTCCATAATCTGCCTTAAATTTGGATTTACCAGTTCCTGAAGTACTTTCTTATAGGGTCTACAGTCTCTGTGGGAAACTGAGTGTCCCCATTGTCATTCAGCTGTGCAGCATGACAAGGTAGGGTTGTGGAACTAGCTGAGCTCTCAACCCACAAAGAACAAATGGTAGAGTCATGACTACCTGGAGGTACATCCCTCGGAGCAAGGGTTTGGTATTACCACTTGGGAAACACTCTGCTTTGCTTGACATGCATAGACTGTCATTTTTGGGATGAGACCACTGAATGTAGAGGATGCCGTCAATGGTAAATGGGAGCCTTCAGATAGGCTTCATTTGCCTTGCACGGAATAGCATGCAGTCACTGGTCAGTCCCTGTGCATTCCACACACATCCCTCCCCTTTGTCTCCTCTTAAGCCTGCTTCTATTACTCCAGGAGTCACTTATCATCAGCCCTTCCTGTTTGCTCCTTTAACACCGAGACCACATCCCGCTGATGGGACAGTGAAGATCACCTGCTTGAGGTACAATCCCACGCCACCCCGAATGGCCAATGCTTCCCTTTTCTTCCAGAAGAGCATACTGCTTAGAAGTGAAATCTTAGACTTAAAACTCTCCTTCATTACAGCATTCACTTTAAACTAGAAAGAAAACCATTCTCAATGAAGACGAGAGAACTACATGAGCTAAAAATGTGATTTCCGAGGGTTCTTTTTATAAAATGCTTATCCTTAAATGTATCAACTAAGTACACTACAAAAACATTCAAACTTAGAGACATTAGATTGCTATATTGCCCCCTGCCACACACACCTTTTCTTTGTGTTTTGTGTACTTGTTCACCTGTGTATATATATGTGCATACAGGTCCATTTCTGGTATCACTGTGTCTTCCTGTATGACTACTCTCTCCACCAACTCCCTTACAAAAAAACTAACAAACCACCAAGTATGAGTGTGTGCCTGCATGGATGTCTGTGCACTATGCATGTGCCTAATGTATGCGGAGGCCAGAAGAGGGGATTGGATCCCCTTGAACTGGAGCTACTGGTGGCTGTGAGCTGCCATATAGGTGCTGAAAACTGAGCAAGTACTTCTAACCAGTGAGCTATTTCTCTAGCCTCACTACCTATTTTGAGGCATAACTTCTCACTAAACTTGAAGCCCATAAACCTCACTGGGGTAAGAGGTACACCTGGTTCTTCCATGGGTGCTAGAGATATATACTCAGGGCCTCATGCTATTGTGACAGGCAGTTTAACAACTGAGGCATCCCAGTCCCACAGTATCTGTAATGTTGTTGTTCATTTGTTGTAGTTCTAATACTAAAATACAACCAAGCCTTATAAAACTTTTGTTAGATATGATATTGTTCCTGTTTTTAATCTCTTGTATTTAATAACCTCCTTAAAAATCATACGTATATAAAAAGAATCTGCAATTAAGACTTTTATTTCATTCATATCACATGTAACAAGTGCAAGTTAATGTACAAATACTGACCACAACAAAGGGGAGTGGGGAGAGTAACAAAAAGCTTATTTAGCAGATTCATGCAGAGAAATGAAGAGGACATTGCAGATGTCACGGACCCTGTTTACCTTGAATCATGACAAATGCAAAGGACTCCTACTATGGCACATCAAAGGAAGTCCTACATCAGAAAACATTAAAGAGTTCGAGAACGAGGTGGGACTCTCCCCAGAGTTCCGACCGCATGCTACTAATCCTTCTATTTTTAAATCAGTCCTTGAGTAAACATCTAATTGTGGAATTAGAAAGTACGTCCAAAGACTGACAAAATATTTTACCTTCCCCTCAGAAGTACACGCTTACAAAAGAAACACTGCCAGCTATGAGTTTATAAATAACCACGGGCTCTCATTTAAAGTGCATCCAGATGCTTAGAAATCAAGGCAAAAGATTTTATAGTGAAAGGAATCTTTCTTCATTGGAGGTTCCTGAATAACGGCTTTGGGAACCACTTTCTCAACCTGTGGGAGAGCGTGGAAAATTCTATGTCTGCGGGTGTGACAGTCACACCAGGTCTGTGCAGTCAGATCCTTGCTCTGCTCCTCAGCTCTGAGGAAATCTTCTGGGTCTGTAGGACCCGTGGGATGTATGGGAGCTCTTGAAGTGTTAGTGTTTCCAGACAAGTGAGTCCTCTTCAGTAAAGCACCAGCTAAGTCCATGTCATTTACAGAGATGCACACAATAACTTCACAAATTAAATTCCTCATCAACATCCCTTGGGATACGTACGTAACTGCACAATCCTCTGATGCCAACTGCTGGAAACACATGGGCACCACGATGTACAAAATTGATTCTGTCCAGATACTGTCCTTCAAATCTAAGTAGGTTTATATAGTTTATTCTTCAATTCCATTCTTTTATATACATTTTTTTTTTTGGTAATAATAACAGTAAAGATGCTGGTGAAAAGTCCTTTGTTTAACAATTCATGATGCATGCAAAAGGAAAAACATGGATTTGGAGAAAGGTCGTATTTACAATTCTTCAGTCCCAACAGGATGATACACAGTTAGGCAATATTGTGACTCACAACGTTACACTTGGCTAATGCCGTGATTCCAAATATGGCACAGGGTGAACATGACTGACAGTAGTCCCAGGCTAAACCCAGCCAGGTTCAAAGGATTTGGTTTAGGTTGAAATTCAGTTATATAAAAAGGTTTCTGCAAGTATTGAAAAAAAGAAGGCGTACATGAAAGAGACTCTGACAATGTTTACAAAATGCCAAAAGTTCTGATTTTGCCCCCCATCCATAAATAATGAAGCCTCCCTTCCCCACCCTCCTCCCACATCCAAAAAATTTACAAAGGTAAGTTTAGCTCATTGAGCAGAACCAAAAGGTGACTGTTGTCGGACAGTTGCTGGTAAGAAGCTCAGGCATTTCCTAAGAATGCGTATGCAGCTGGAGGGACAGATGGAGCCCTGGGGTGCTGCTCCTGTGAGTTCTGAAGACTTCTCACTCGGGAGCTGGAGCTGTCCTTGTGCTTTGAAAGAACATAATGAGCTATAAAGCAGAAGCTGATGGTACCAGAATTCACCGTCTTCACAGTTCATTGTGGGAATTCTTCTCCGCAGCTTTGAACATTAGAATAGAATTGAAAATTTTGAGAGCCGGGCCCAGCTTAATGCTCATAATTTTAACAATGTCTGTTTGAGTCATGAGTAAAAATGCTTCTCCATCAATTTGCTGAAATAAAGGGGGGAAAAAACAGAGGAATGTGGATTAACCAGATGGAGTATTGTGGGAATATTCAAAGCTTTATGCTGTATTATCAGATGAATTCTAGACAGCAATACTAACATGGCATACACAGCAGCTCATGAACACATCATTCCTGATCTATGGGTCTTATCTAAAGTCACACATCCAGCATAGTAAAACTCAACTGTCTCAAATCGCAGTCCACAGAAGGGAACGTGGCCATACTTTCTTATAACTTAAAATTTGTGTGTGTATGTGTGTGTGTGTGTGCACGTGCGTGTGGCCAATGTTCAATTTTGCATGTCTGCCTCTATAGCTCTCTACCTTATTCTTTGAGACAGTGTCTCTTAGTGAACCTGGAGCTTGCCATTCCAGCTCAGACCTCTAGACAGAGAATCCCCGGGATCCCCCAGCCTGTTGCTTGGTGCTGGTTTTACAGTCACACACTACCACACCTGGTTTTCTATGGAAGTGGTGGGGCCCCAAAGGTCTTAATGTTCATGTTGCAAATACTTCATGTACCAAGTCATTTTCCCATCCCCACAAACCTTGTGTTCTCCTCAATTAGATACTGAGTCAAATATATAGTTAGCTTTTCTGTTTGCTTGTTTATTTAAGTTATAGAAGGTAACAATGCTTTTGGAGGCAAATAATTTGGGCAAAGTACCAGGTACACAAATGTAGCCTTTCACCATGAAGGAAAACAATGAGAAAGACAGGCATGGCCATAATTAGCCTCCACAGACAGAAGAGCAACAACCAAGAGTGTGGTTGGAGGAACGTGAGGCCAGTGTTAAACTCTAATGGTTATTGGGCAAATGCTTTTCATCCTGGGCCCGCTAAGATGAAAAGTTTCATTACAGAATAGGACACTTTGAAGCTCAAAGCCACAACGTGATGAAAATGAAATTTGGTTTAGTGGGGTGACAAACAAAACAGGTATTGTTTTTAAAATGACTTTCTGCCTTTAGGGAATTGCAAGGTCTTACAACACATTAATTTCTCCTTCAATTTCCCTATTTTGCACTAAGAAATACATGCTTTGTTTTCTGCCTCAGAGTAACTAGAAGCTTTAACCATCATGAGTGGTTAAAGGTAGCTAAACTGTGTCTGCTTCAAATTCTTTTTGCTGTTTTGGCTTTGTTTTGTTTGTTTTTGTGACAAGGTTTCTCTATAATATTGGCTGTCCTGGGACTCGTTATGTAGACTAGCTTAGTCTTAAATTCACAGAGATCCACTTGCTTCTGCCTCTGGAGTGCTGGGATTAAAAGTATGTACTACCATGCTAGGCTGAAAATTCTTATAAGATTTTTATTTTTATTTCATTTTATGTGTATTGGTGTTTTGCCTGATAATGTATGTCTGTGAACCACAGGTGTGCAGAGGCGTTGAGGACAACAGAGGGTGTCTGAGCCCCTGGGACTGGCATTATAGACAGTTGTGCACCTTCCTGTGGGTGCTGGGAATCTACCCTGGGTCCTCTGGGTGAGCAGTGCTATTCACCACTAAGGAATCTTTCCAGCCTCTCTTTTGCAAATTCTTATCTTGAATTCCTAAACCAAACTTGCTCAGAATTGGAGCTTATTTGGAAATAGCGTCATTGCAATTATAAGTAGTAACTGGCTACGTTAAGGTCACATAGGTGAGCTGAGCTCTGGTGCCAGGAGGTAAATCTGAACACAGAGACAGACACATAGGAAAAAAGAAAGAGAACTATCTATACATTGTAGAAGAGGCTAGACTAGAACTTAGAAGGCTGGTTTCTAGTCTTGCTTCTAGAATTGTGAGACAATACATTTCTACTATTTACGACACTGGGCTATGCTTTGCCATGGCAGCCTCAGTAAGCTACTACAATCCTGAATTCCCAAGAACTAATTAATTAACTAATTACTAGCTTATATAAGTTAAGTAGCTGGGCTTTCTTGTTGTTGATGGATTTTTTTTTTTTACCTTCCTCATTCCACTAAATATAGAAGAAAGAAAAGGGTTGTTGAAGTGGCTCACTGGAAAAGCTTGGCAACATGAGTTTTCTTTTCTGGGACTCACATGGAAAATAGAACTGACTGTTTCATGTGGTTCTCTGACATTTACCTACGTTCTTTTTTTTTTTTTAAGATTTATTTATTCATTTAATGTATGAGTACACAGTAACTGTTTTCAGACACACCAATAAAGGGCATCAGATCCCATTACAGATGGTTGTGAGCCACCATGTGGTTGCTGAGAATTGAACTCAGGACCTCTGGAAGAGCAGTCAGTGCTTTTAACCTCCGAGCCATCTCTCCAACCCCAGCTACATTCTTTTATCGAGAAAACAAATTACAACAAACACTGGAGATGATATGAAGCAAGAGGAACCGGTACCCACGGCTGGCAACAGTGAAGACTGGTGTTACCATACTGAAAACCACTGTGGAAGTTTCTCATGACAGAGCTAAAAATATAATCACCAGAAGACCCAGCTACATAAAAGGAAGGACTCTACATCCTATCAGAGATACTTGCAAATCTATGTTCATTGCTGCTAATGTCTAAATGTCCATTAACAGTGTAATGGGAAATTAAAATGCTGGACATATATACAATGAACTCTTATTTGGCCACAGCGAAAGATAAAATTATAAAATTTTAAGGAAAACTGATTGGCCCTGGAAATTACCCTATTAAGTCAGAAAACTGAATACTGCATGTTCTCACATACACAATCCTAACTTATGATTTGAAGAAGTATCAAGGAAGGAGAACGGGAAGGATCATAGACTCTCTGTGACATGGAGGCCAAACAGGGTCAGAATGGGACAGCCGGGGTGGGGATGAGCAGAGGAATGGGGGAAACCCTGTGTAGGGAGGCATCAGCCAATATTATCCATGAAAAGGCCAAAAGGAAATCTGTTACTTTGTACACTAATTTGAAATAAGTAGATACTTGTTAAACAGATAATCTGGGAGGTAGACAGTGATAAATTCCTGCTCTTACACATATTACTGAGATACAGGTAAGAGCTAAGATACTCCTGGCTATAGCACTACTCTTTATTCCGAGCATTTGAGGGAGTTAAGTGTTGATATTGTTAAGATGATAGATAATATCTGAAATGGAAGAAATGAGAAAAATTCACTTTATCGAAACACTGTTACTTTCTTCCTTTGATTTATTTCAGTGATACAAACTATTTAAGAACATGCTGTTAAGTTCTGTGGGGAGTTTTATAATGAGTCTAGGGCTACTGTGTGTGATCCTGAAATGTTTCCCCTTTCCTTTGAAGCTGCTGTAGACAGTTTAATTCAAGTGGTTAATGCTGTTGTACTGCAGCTACACACTAAGTGTCTATGTTGAGGGAACTCATCTTCTCCTGACTGTTAATTTAGCACATTTCCCCACTGATGGATCTCCCTGCTTTGATCCCATCAAGAAGCATATTACAATATAGAGGGAGACTTACTTCATCCTTAAACACCTTTCCGTGTTCTTCACACCCAGGTAAGCTCTGAATGAATTCTGACACCTGTCAAAAATAACATCAAAATTCCAAGTTTTTTTAAAAAAGGAAGTTGGGATCCAAGTATTTTTGAACACAAATATCTTCAAAATAAAATCTCTCTTATAGGGGAAATAAAATCCTGAAAGATTAAACACTACCCACAGTCGAAGCCTTTATCACACTCATAATGCCAGTATCTTTGCAGATGGTCCTGCAGACAAAATATGGTAACAAAATTAAATAGCAAAAGCAAACATACCTCGTCTGTGCTCCACTTGGAAACTCTACTGGCTGGAATTCCAGCGACAGTTGGAAGAAGCTTGCTCTGCTGCTCCCAGCGCAAGGGCAGACATGGAATTGGGGGCTTAAAGGAGAGAAATACAGCTGACCGCCGCTGAGCCTGCTGCTGGGTCTGCTGAGCCTGATGAACCTGCTGAGGCTGCTGGGCCTGTGAGGCCTGCTGGGCCTGCTGAGGCTGCTGGGCCTGTGGGGTCTGCTGGGCTTGCTGGGCCTGCTGGGCTTGCTGAGCCTGCTGGGCTTGCTGTGCCTGCTGAGCCTGTGGAGTCTGCTGGGCCTGCTGGGTCTGCTGAGTCTGCTGAGCTGGTGGAGCCTGTGGAGGCTGTGGAGGCTGTGGAGCCTGTGTTGCCTGTGAAGCCTGTGGAGCCTTCGCTGCCTGCTGAGGTGGCTGAGCATGCTGCACTTGCTGCACTTGCTGAGGTGGCTGAGTCTGCTGTACACTAGGGGTAGGCTCTTCCCGAACAACTGGTAAACAGGGGAAAAAAAAGAAAAAAAGAAAATCTGTGTCTGAAAGGCAGTTGAACAGCCCCAAGTGTCATGCATTCCACAACTGTTTAATTTTTTTAACAGTTAACAGAGAAAATAGATAACCCACAGCCTGACAGAAAATATGTACATTATACAAAGAACAACAACAACAAATAATAAAAACAGCAAACAGAAAACAAACCCCAGGCAACAGGAAAACAAAAATCCAGCTAATAGATGTACAAAGGAAATGAGCAGACAATTCACAAAGAAAGAAATAAAACAGCCAATGAACATGAAAAATGCTCAACCTCACAAGGCATCAGAAAGATGCAGATCGAAAATGAATTCAGATTTCATCTCACTCTACAAAGACTGCCAGTCATTAAGGAAAACAAAACAAAACAAAATAAAACAAAATTCAGGTACAATGTGGACAAAAAGAAGCTCTTAGACCCTGTGGTCAGAATCAGGCTAATCCTATGGATTCAGTATGGAGCTTTCTTAAAGATGTCCCCACACTGGGTATGACCCACAGGACACCAGGTGGACGAATTAGAGACACTTGCACTTTGGTGTTTACTGCAACACAATTCCCAAGAGCTAACTTAAGGTACCTACTTAGGTGTCCTGCAACAAAGGAGGGGTTAAAAAAATGTGGTGTGTATGCATGATGGAAATTTAAAGGAAAATGACATTTGTTATTTACAAGAGGAAGGATGCCCCAGTCACAAATGCTAAACTACTTTTTCCAGGCTTTACTGAATCAAGATTTTGGGTTATCTTACTTTTGCTGTATCTCTATTATAAATCAAACTTAGACCACCACATTTATTTTTCTTCTTTTTAAATTACTTAAGGCAAAAACCAAACATAGGCCACCACATTAATTTTTATTCCTTTTAAATTATTTTGCTTAGCAATTAAGGGGTGGGGCTGGATGCAGCTCTGTAGCAGAGTGTTTGCTCAGAAAGTGCAAGAACCCAGGTTTGACCTCCAATACTTAAGAAAAAAGTGGGAGAGGGAAGGTAGATAACCTAAAAACTTAATCCCAGATATCCCCAAGAGTTTAGAAAGCACCTGAAATAAATATACACACAAGGGTAGCTTACACAAATGGCAAGGCTTTGCTCTACATTAGAGCAACAGGATACAGATTGCTCTATAATTTGTCTTCTGATTGCTTGCCATATGTAAGTCTTATACAAATGTGTGTCCTATTCCACCTTACACTTGTTTCGATCTGCTAACACTGGAATCTCACTCTGTCAGTACAGTTCCATCTATTTCCAAATGGGGAGTAATATGCCTTATAGTTCATTTCTAGGGCTCTGCATTCTTCATAGGAAAACCAACAGACATTCTGTCAGGTAACAAACACAAAGCTCCACCATTCATGGTAGCTTCTGGAGTCTTTGAAGATGATACTGTACACAGATACCACTCTGATTCTGCTAGCACAGTGCTACTTGAACACTTGTTCAAGGGATTTCTTTTCATTCTGTGCTTTTACATCAACACAATATTCTGTTTAGATTTCAAAACACACTTGAAGCAAGTGTAGCCAGCAGTAGTAGACAAGCTGTGCGGCAAGAACCAAAGAGAACCTCTTTGCAGACCTTACAGCTAATGTTAGACCAGTGTGTGATGGAAACCGTGAACACAGGCTACAGCTAAATCTGTGTCATTGCAAGTTCCTCAGTGTCTGGATCCTGAGCACGACCCTTCCCTTGTTTTCCATGAGGGGAAAAACAAACCAAGTTTATCTCCAGTAAAATGTGATTGTTGTTTTCCAGTCGTTTCTATTTACTTTTACTTTTTCTGTGGTGTGGGAGAGTCAGACCCATTGTCCTATGGATTCGAGCTACTTCTCTGCCATGAAACTATGCCACTGGGCTACAGTGCAATTTATGGTTCTTGAATATTTATGGCAATAACCAACAACATGGTAATGTAATGGCTACCTTTGGCTTCGGCTGATTTCTTTACTTCATTTTCTTTTTTCTTTTCAGAATCTTCTTTGCCGTTTTTGGCATGCTGTTCCCTGAGAAAAATAGCTATGTCAGTATTTCATGACAGAAGAATTTTAAAGCATTTCAGAACAGCAACTGTTTTTCTTAATGTAAAGACTAATGAATGGTACCACTAAATAATGAAGAATTAAATTCCACCATAAAGCAACTGACACCAACAGCAGACAAGGAACCCACTTCCTTCATAGTCACTTAGGAAGGTTGTTAATGGTGAGAAATCTATGAAAATGAACTACTGGGGGAAGACATGGTGACTAAATATTTCAACCACAGCATGAAATACATCTTCAGGAGGAATAACACTTGTACTCTTTGGTAAGATTCAGAAAACCAAAAAAATGTCTCGAGTCTGTATCGTGTATCAATTAAATCACTCTACATTCCCCAGCCTTGAGATCTGGGGTTGAAGCTGAGACTGGCACACTGGCATGTATGTATCCCAATGCTGGGAAGCTCTTCATGGTCAGGTCAATTCCACAGAAGTGAATTCACCTTTTTCTGAGCAGGAGTGAATGAACTCTTAAATCAACAGGCCTTGAATACTCTAAGATAGAAAAAACTTATTAAAAAGTTTAATTTGAAACTTTAACCCTGAAGTTAAGGACAAAATTTGGTTCATTTTTAAGAAGCTAGGTATGCAGTACATACACTTATAAAAAATAAAAACTTGGGGGATTTAAAATTGTTCAGCCTAATGTATTCCATTCTGAAGGTCACAATACAGCACAGTCTACAGCGTAGTCTTGAGGTATCTGGCTGCACAATGTAGAACCTTACTTCTAAGGGTCAACAACAAGGCAAATACAATTAAACAGATTAGTCTAACACAAAAGGATAGCTTTATTGCAAAGGCACATCTTCTGCATTTGAAACTCTGATGTAGTAACACACAAAACTATCAGAGGAAGCACTCGATAAATGTTCACTGCATTTTACAAAGATTATTTTTCTAGAGTACACATGAAATCTCATTTGAACCTGAGCTCCTGGCTTAGTTTCTACTAAAACATCTTGTAACAGCTGAACACTCGAACCTATTGAAAATGAGGAGGAATCAGTTTTTATGCAATGCAAATATTTTCCCAAGACATTCCGAGAACTCCAAATGAAAACTTTGAGGAATCCACATTCCTTCAGAACATCTTGAACCTGTTTAATCTAGTACTGTGCCAATTCACCAGCTAGAGGTTCTTACTGCACAGGAGAGAACTGACAGCTGACAAAGGTCCTGAGGTATTGACAGAAAAACCTTCTTTTCTCCATAGAAACAGGAGAGCAGGCAACCATGATTACAGACACCTGTAATCCTAGCTACTTATAAGGCCAGTACAGGAAATTTACATTGTTGAGTGTGTTCAAAGCTAGCCTGGGCCCTGCTTAGTGAGAGCCCCCCTCAAAAAAAATGATGACAACAAAAACCCAAAACCAAACCAAACCCCCAAAGGGATGTGAGTACAGCTCAGCCAGGTGCTTGACTGACAAGTGTCACAATCTCTGGTACCACAAAAATAAGCAAAAACAATAAAATAAAGCACTCACAAAACTAGGCACAATGAAGTCATACTTTCTAATTACAACATGTCAAAGTCAACTTGCTACATGCTAAATTGACTCAAATTTCTATCTTGTTTGTACTAAGCCAGAAATAATTTTTTGTGTCTACAAAATCTATCCAAATATTGTGACTAGTGAAAAAGAGTAACTAACTTGGTGTCTATATCAAAATTATTAGAAAAAAAATCACACAGTATTGTGAAATAATTTAAAATTAGAGTCAAATAAATGCAAAACTTCTAGCTCTTATAGGAGCTAGGAAGTTAGATTTAAAAATCTGACTGATTTTTTAAAAAAAATGTTTTCTTTTAAAAAGTGAGACAAAAATTAAAAGTTAAGCCCTGAACTTTTCTGAGTTTGTGTGATTACATAACCAGAAATATCTACTGACAATCAAAGTACCTTCTTGTGGTTTTAATAAAGCATAATTACTCTTCAAAGTAAATTGTTTTAAAGTGAGAACACTTTTAATCCTGGGGCTCAGGAGACAGAGGCAGTCGATCTCTGAGGCCAGCCTGGTCTACAAAGTGAGTTCCAGGACAACCAGGGCTAAACAGAGAAACCATGTCTTGAAACACTAATAACAAACAATCAAACAAACAAACAAACAAACAAAAACACAGAAAGACTACTTAAATATAAGAAGAACTTTTTTGTAGATTATGTTCAAATACAATGCCAATTATTTATGTCTTAAAATGCAACAATAGCATCTTTCTAAAAAAGAGCAAAGGTAGAAAAGAAAAACAATATTTTCGAGCCAAAAAGTTCCTTTATACCCAAATCTGCCAAACTGTACTCCAAAAGAAAAGCAAAATGAATATTACTCATTGTTCTTTATGAAACATGATCAGTCTTTCAATTCCCAAGCATAACTCATGACTGATCATTAAGTTAGAATCATAGAGACCTTAGAAGTAACTGTGTGACAGTCCTTCCTGTGTTCCACATGCTGATTCCTTAGCTGAAGTGGGAGGTGGAAGGAGTCACGGACAGTCTGCTAAAGCATATAGAGTGAAGCAGATGGACAAACAGAACTGTCAAGGTCACTGAGGTCAACAGAACTCAATGGTAAACGCATCCAGACATGAGGGAGAGGTTGGCCAGCATTCTTACGAACACACTACAAGCCAATGGCTGAGTGCTGACAGGTTGGATGGTGTCCGAAGCACTCCCGGGGCTAGGTCTGGTATTTTATACACTGAAATGTGAAGATATCATGTCTACATTTACAGGGGCAAGGACAGAACTAGGTTTCCCTGACACCAAGGATCTATAATTAGAACCAAACTCTTTAATGCTTACACATGAGCTTCTCAAAAATAAAATGCACACCCCGTTCCAGGATGGTAAAGAGTATGTTTCATGCCATGTGCTTATTCTCAACCTGTCCTTCCTTGAGAAAGCTGGGAATGAAGACTCTGCCTGCACGGTCCTAATTATCTTACATTTTATTTTATTTTTTTCTTAATTGGGAAACCATTATTCCTCTCCTCTAAGAGGTGAGAAATCCCTCTATCCCAATTTCTGGTACTCTGGAAAGTTTCTTCCTATAAACAGAGATGAAATCATTGTTGTAGAATTCCAGATTTCTTGGCAGAAAGCTCTTCCTGCCCGCTCCTGAGGCACATAGTGGGCAGATGAAGGGAGAACAGAATGCCCAGCACACTACCTCAGAGGCAAGTGGACACTCATGAACTGGCCAAGGCAGACTGTGGAAAGGAGAGAGGACTCGTGTAATGGTAGTCCAGGGACAGGCGAATATGATCATACTACAATTTGAAAATTCAGGGAAAATATTATGATATTTTTTGTAGCCAAGAACAAGATATGCTCTTGACAGATTAGAAAAAAATAGTAACAGAGCTATTGTATTACAATGTTGCTTAGCTTCTTGACCCAGTCTCCCTAGTGTTTATTCTCACGTGTGCCAACAGTCTGATTAAGGTAAGAAGCACATGCCGTGGTTATAAGTGTGTCCTTGGCGGGAAGTGGACCTTGTTCTGATTTCAGCTCTATGAACTAGTTTTGCATGGACATTAGCAGCAAGTTACTTAACTTCCCAAATTGTCAGTTGCATCATTGACAGAATAGGGATAATCCGATACTAATGTGGCATTTAAGACTGAATAAAATGTATGTAGAAAGTGCTTAGCATGGGGCCATACACACAGGTGGTGCCTGGCCCATGACTACTTTCTCTACCTACTGTTCCCTTCTCCATTAAGATAAGATTGCTGGTAAGGTAAGCTGCTTGCTTACACAGCAGACCTTAATGTACTGGTTTCCACAGCCAGGCAGCTAGACAGCTTGGGTTATAAGCCAGGTCTTGACTAGCTGTGTGAACTAAAACCAAGACAGGATGGAGTGGTTGTGGTGGCAGAAGTCTTTAGTCGGGAGGCAGAGGCAGGGGTATCTGAGTTCAAGGCCAGCCTTGCTTATATAGTGAGCCCAGGTTAGCATCAGCTTACAAACTAACAATAAAGGCGAAGGCTATGAAGGTAACCCAATATCTTCAGCACCTCAGACAAATTAGCCCGAACAGTACCCTTGAGTGGGCAATTTCTCTTGGACGTTAGAATTTTCAAGAAGTGGTTCATTATAAGATTTCTTTAGCTTAAACTGAGTACAGCCTCAGCCAAAGCTTCCTCAAAAGAACTTGCTCAGCTTTAATAATTGGGACAGGAGCAGATTTGCCCAAGTCAGACACCACTTTCCCTATAATTATGTGGCCCAGTTTAGATGTCTTACTAGCTTCCTGGAATCACACCTGTGGTAAATATCAGGGAAACGAACCTGGGAAGCCCAAGTGCCCAGGAAAGCGGGTGGCAGCTGAAGGCACGCAGTTCACTTGTCCAGAGTACTGATTGTTTTTTTACTTACAAACAATTCCTGACCAGTTATGTCTAAGCCAGCCCCAGTCTACTGAGAGTGGCATTGAAAGATATTAAACAGTAACGGAGATTTAGTGGAGATTAAGGGAATTGTTACTTTTAGCCACTTCTCTAAATCCAGAACAGGAAGAGACAGGATGTGAGATGTAGGTACAAACATGTCTGGGTTAGTCACCTACAAAAAAACCTGTTATTTATCTCTTCGTATGACCCACTAGCACTTTCTAAAAGTTTCTGGGTTAAAAATCGTTCATAGATAAAATATCAAGGATCAAGAACCTCAGGTTATTACCTCACCCCCAACACATCTTCTACCGAGGTAGAAATCTGCTGAGCCGCAGAACAAAGAGGGTACCCCTTCAAAGGGATTCCGGACAGGTGGTGACTGAAACACCAGATTACCTTCTTATGCCTATGGGTCCACGTGGGAACAAGGACATTTTAGAGCTGAGCTCCTTTTGTAATAGCTTAGCAAGAGTTTTCATGAGCCATGGCTCCATAAACAAGATCTAGAGGAGGTAAACGTGGCTTATGCATTTTCTAATGACTAAAACTGAAGCATG